CATGTGATGGTCACTGCATAAGTATGTTGGCTCAGGCAATGGGCTTGGGATTTAATTGGCTACTTGCTATTGGCCCTGGTATTCCTGATCTTCCTTCCCTTGGTGCACCGCTTGCAGATAATGTGTGACACAGCTGCGCTCATCAGCGCAGTGTGAAGATGCCTTCCGTGATGTCGTTCGAGTTTTGCTGGGAAACAAGATCTGACTATTTAATGCAGTAGTCGGTTGAAGTGAGGGCGACCTTCCAGGTCGCCATAAATGCCAGCTTCACAAACGTGACGATCTGGGAGCAACATGGCCAGAATTGCATGTGGACTGGCAGTATTTCTCCCATGGTTTTTGCCGCAGCGGGGACAGCTTGGCAGACTTTTCTTCAACACTTTCTGAGGAAGAATTCTGCTGAGTTTGCCACATTCATGGATCGACATCATGCGACTTCAACTGGCACTGAGGTGAACATGTTCGAATGTCAAGATGTGTGCAAGTTGCATGTTGCATGTGACAAAATTGAGAGCGAAGAGAGCGAAGTCTGGCTTGTGATAGTTTCAACCATGTGACAGGTTCAAGTTACTACCTTTGTTTCCTTCCCATGTACAGTAAGTTACCCACCCTCCCCAAACAAACATGGAGCAAGCAAAACAAAGTTTCTTGCACTTTGTTCTTATTAGCGGGGTCAGCTCTCCAAGGTCTTGGAAGTTCTTTCTGACGCTCTTGTTGGACCATTGATCCTGTTGCTTGCCTATCCTGAGCAGCCATGAAGCTTTAGGGTGAGTCGCTTAAGCTAACAGCTCCTGAAATGTGGACTTGCCCTAAATCATGAAGACACACTTGGTGTTGTTGAACAGAGAAGCAGACTGTCCACAATTGTTCATGATTTGACAAGAAGTATGCAGCTAGTTTCATTACTGTATATGAATATGCTTGTTTGCAACATCGGGCACGTCACGGTCTCAGGAATTTCCTGATCGGAGTGCTTTGCTCAATCCTGGCATCCATTCTGGTCAACTTCTTCGTGCTGAAGGCTGGTCTTTGTCTCACTGCTGCTTCAAAGACTCGATGTGTTACGACGTGTGCCCTTTGAGGCACGTGGAGTCTTGCAGCAACTTGCCGAAGAGTGCACTGCGTCTACCTGTGACACCTGTTGAGTCGGTGAGTCGTTTGCGTTTGCGAGTTCTATGGATGAGTTTTTGCAGTGAGGCACCTGTTGCAAAGATGGTACTATGTTTATTTGGTTATTTTGGTTCTCTTCGTGACTGCTGTGGGCAAGTCACTTACCGACGTTGTGGATGACTTGTTCAAGACTCCAAAGGACACTGGAAGACATGCAGATGAGGAATGGAAGGCAAAGTTGAAAAGTGGAAGAACACACACATGCAAAAAGCTTTCAGTTTTTTTTGTGGAAGAACATGCTCTTTGGTTTTGAGGACATTCCACTTCGATTGGCCGAGAAGTTCGCAGATAGCACTCTTTTTTACATGGACTTTGTCATATTGCGCCCACCCCAGTGTCTTAGCACTTTGTATAGCCTTCCTGAAAGCTAGTTTGAGTTTGGCCTCAGGAGTTGCTGCGTCTACATGTTGGCGATGCTTCGGCTGATGCCGCTTTATCGGTACAGGATCCACAGTTGTATCTACGAGGACCATGTTTGGAGCAAGTTGATGGTCTGTTGATGCTTTAAGAACCATGTCGACCCAACCGCTTGGTTTCTGGGTCTTTGGACCTGAAGGAATCGCTGGCAATCTCGAAATCAGAGCCAGAGGATCAGGACCGACGATGATCAAAGTCTTTTTCTTGGTTGACAACGGTGAAGGAAGGTGACATGGAAGGTGATTGTTGCAGCAAGCAAACTCTCAAGCCGAGAGCTTCGCTTGGCAACTTGGCAGGACTACAATGGCATGGGAGGAAGGAGTGCTCGTTTAAGCTTGATATATGTCTTAGTGCTCGTTCTTGGCATCTAAGCGGCAACATGAGCTTGGAGAAGAGGGAGGGAGATACGGAGATATGTCATCAAGAAATTCAGCAGCATCCAGAACAATACTGCAAGATTGTTTTATTTTGGCACATCAATCCGTGATCAGAATCAGGCACGCTAGCGCCTGTGATTACCATCTTTGGAGCAATCTTCTTTGCAATTTGCCGGCTTGTTTTTACCTATTTGCGCTTTGGCTGCAGCTTTGTGGACAATTGTGAGAGGTGGATGGAACGTTTGGAAACGCTTTGGCTTTTGGCTTCTTCCTTTCCTAGGTTTGTCTACGCCGAAACCCTCAAGCCAGACCTTGGTGGCCTTTTCTGGCAGCTTGGCTGCTCTGTGTGATCTTTGGAGGCTACGCCTGGCATCTTGATCTTTCTCCGTTTCATCTACTTATTATATCTATAGTTTTTCCGGTGTTTTCATGTTTTTTCTATTTTAGCCCGCGGGGAGGGGCCGCTGAGGTAGTAGCTATAGGGAGTCGGTAGTAGCTTACTTAAGCTACTAGGAACTGGACGCAAGATAGCTCACGCACTACTGATTTGGTTCCTAGATGTTTAAGAAAACTTAAGTTTTGCAGCCTTTGAGGGGCTTTTACGAAGGAGTGAGCTAAGGCACCAGCAATTGAAACATGCGCAGCAGGGAACTTTTTTGCAGCTTGGCTCATTGGGATCGATAAAGATGAAACGCTTGTTTTAGCCTAGTTCACATGAACTCAAAGCCAAAACAATGCTTCATTCTTGGCTTTTGAGCTTGCCGTTTTTTCAGGTACATCGCTTTGATGACTGTGCTCCTGCTGCAGAGGGCTCCGAACCCTGCCCCCGGCATCATCTGCAGTACAAGTGTGATTTGCCTGCAGCAGGGAGAAGACGCATCAATATTCTACCAGTTTTGAAAGAGTTCCGAGCAACACAACATACAGAATGAGTTTAGATTGACTTGCTTCGCTTGACTCTTCTTGTGTTGCCTTCAGCAATCAAGGCGTTGTTCATGGCCTTTTCGTACTACACATTCCTTCACAGGCCTCCGGAGCTTTCCAGAAACACCTGAGAACGGACTAATAGCATCGTGCTTATGCAAAACGCATAGTGTTTCGATAAAGATACGGACTGCCATTTTGGTTCCAGAATCGAGGTTTCGATGGGAGCAGCTTGAGTTCAGTGAAATTCCTGCCAAAGTGAGTGAAGGCAGGGTGTTTCAAGCAATAGCTATTGTAAAAGTGGCAGAGCGGCAGAGCCAGAGAAGCCTTAGTTTCCCACGGTCTAGGAATCATGTCAATCAAGCCTAAGCTCTTCTGCGCCGAACTTTGTAGCTTTTTGCGTCTCCTTCCTACATACTACTCGATCCGTAAATACTACAATTATATAGATCAATTAGCTACTCCCGAAGTTAGCTTCTGGCTACGGCCTGCCCTGCTTCAACCCCAAAAAGAGACATACTCTAAATATGTTTGTTCCCAGTACTTCCATGACCGTCCAATTGGTTCGACCAGAGGGTGTCGCAGGTGCACCGGAGGTTCCACGCGTGTACGGCCACTACAAGCAGCGACTCAGCGCCGTTGGAGTCCACTTTTTGTTACTAGTAGCTACTTCCTCCTAGTAGTACGAGGAGCGCCTAGTAGCATTCTTGCTCCTAATAGCGATGCCCTTTGCTCCTAGTAGCTTCTTGTTACTATTCCATAGCTCAGTTCCCCTCTCAGTTCCCCTAGGCCTGAATTGCCTCCCCCCGAAGTTGCTCGGCCAGCAGAAATTGCGTTTTGGAAAAGCGAGCTTCCTTCGAAAGCGTATGATGACAGACCTTGGGAGAAAGGCTTGCGATTTGCATCCTTCCCAGGTGGCAGACACAGAAAAAAGAGCTTTCGCAGCTTTCATTGCACGATGCAAAGACCTGTTCTCACCCTACCTTCAGCCGAGGCAAAAGGAGAACACACGATTACAACGAGCAGCCACCACCATGCGCATGCGGGTCAACACCTGCTGCGATGTGGAACCAGAGCGGCGTGAGACACGGCACAAGGTGGGTGGGGCCGATGACGAAAGACATGAACGAAGTGCTAAACACTGTAGAGAAAATAAGACCACCAGGTCACCAGGCATTTTTCATAAAGTATGATGTGTTTGTGTATTCCTAGCCTTCTTGAGTCTTGAGCAATTTGTTTGTTTTCGGATTCTTGATCCTTGGACTGTCAAGTGGATTGCGAGCTCAGCCCTGTGTTGCTCGCCAGACGATGCCACATTAGCGCCAGCAGCGGTGCTGCATCGAGAGAGAGAAAAGTGCAGCGGACGATGCTTCGATGCCAAACAGCGGACGGTCTTCGATTGATGATGGAAATAAGATGTGTTCCGGAATGTGTGAACATCACAATCAAGGAAATGGGATTTCTCCGGAGGCCAACACCTTCCAACACACTTTTTAAGGGTATCGTCAGCGTTGATCATCAGTGTGGAGGTGTTCTTCAGGGGTTTGGGAGGTACAATACCAAACACAGACCACCGAGAAGTTGTGGTGCACTAATTGAATGGCTTCAATGACTTGCAGACGTTGTTTGTCCACTTCTTCCAGTCTCTTTCCCTAGCAGCAGGCCGCTTCAGACAATCTGAGGTCAAGGAGGAGTCGTGATGCAAATCATTGAGTTCTGAAAGAAACAGAGACAACTTGTGAACCACAACTCAGCTCATTAGTAGGATGCATTGTGCACGATATGCAGCAAGTGAAGTCTGAAAAGAAACTGGAAGGTTTTGCACACTCTAAGACCAGTTCTGATCTTGCTTTCAGCTTGCCTGCGTGTCAGGAGCCTCGCATTTGGAAGGTCACTTGTTGTTCAGTTGCACGGATGCTGACAAGACTGGACGAAAACAGACATGACAAGCCACCAGACAGTCCTACTTGTGGGGGCAGGCAAAGAAGCCCCAACCTCGGTCTGGAACCTTAATCAAAGCTTTTATTTGACTGTCACATTGAAGCAGGAAATATCCAATCCCGATGCACTCCTTGTGTTGTTTTGCTTTGTGTTTCACACTCTTGCACCCTACGAGCCTTTGGCTCAAGCCTTGCGCTGAGCCGGCGTTTTTCTACAATGAGCCGCTGGAGACTGAGCAGCGTGCCACACCAATCAATGCAGATTGGGAATCTTTCCAAGGTTAACGACCACAGCTTTTTCAAGCTCGAGGTCTTTGGGCAAGATGTGTCAGACGTGTCACTTAGAAGCCGAAGCAGCCAGGTCAATGGCCGAGTTGTTCAACCCGTGCGAACGCCAGGTCAACAAATTGACCCGAGTGAACAGATGCCTGACAGAGAGAAAGGCCGGCGGAACAGCTGTTTTCCACAGGACCCACTCAAAAGCAAGGACGCTACTAGGGGCTCCTGGCTTTACCACCAGGAGCAAGAGGGCGCTACTAGGGGCTCCTGGCATCGCTACTAGGAGCAAAGCGCATCGCTACCAGGGGCTTACTCAAAAGCTGCAGAGCTTCAGATCTCCATTTTGCATAGGTGGGGTAGGCCGCCAGAGGTAGTAGCTAGAGGTAGGTAGCTGGTAGGGAGAGGTACAAGTAAACTACTAGTATGGGGCTCACGCTTCTTCGCACTAATGATTTGGTTTCCAGATTTTTTTGGGAAACTTGCATGTTGATTCATATTGATACTGCATCAGTCCTGTCCAGTAATCTCTCGGAATGTCCAGCCTCGTTTAGGTGTGCCCTACCCTTTTCCTGGGTCCATGCATTTTTGTTTTGCAATCCTTTTTCATGACGTTAAAGCTGTGGCCATTGTTTGATTTGCTGGCAGTGAGACTTGGTGTGTGGGTCTGGATATATACATTTCCATCTGCAGGCCTCGTGCCAAGTCGCCACTTTCTTTCTGTCAGCGGAGTGTTGCCTCTGCCAGGCACGCAGCGCCTGCGACGTGCAAACACAGATGGCAAGGTCACTGGCCTGAAGAAAACATCCCAAACATGGAGGGTCACTGACGGTCACTCGCGAGTCTTTGAGTTTTCGGATTTGTGACTGATTGATCTCTGACATTCCATTCATTCAGAGTCATCCCATGCAGGGACCACTCGACACTGAGGTTCAAGCTTCGAAGCCCGTCACGAGGCCCACAGTCCAGGCCCTTCAACCGGGTTTCCGAGCCTATTGACCACCGTGGCAGGGCCACCGTCGCAGCGGAACGGGAGCCTTTCGATCCTTGGGCTTCGGACTCGGAGGACGCCGGCCGTGGGGTTGAATATCCAAGACGAGAGGTGCATGGATTGGAATCGAGAGGTTTCCAGGATTTTGCTTGTCAAATCGACTTGGTGCATGGATTTTGCTTGGAGCACCATGAGTTTGTTTGGTCACAGGATGATTCCGAAATCCCTGTCATCACAGCCAATCCCGTGAGGCCGTGCACGAAAATTCTATTCTCACAGATTTATGGATCTTGAGTAGATGGAGTAGAAAACTGATGTCGCAGCAAGCCGCCCAACACCCAGGCGAAAGCCACCCATCCCCAAGAGCACGAAGACAAGCGGAACAGCCGGGACAGATGTCGGGACATGAAGAATAGCCTTGCTTGTTTTTCCAATCAATATTGGTGAAGACAGAAAGGCTTACTATGACTAGATGAGCTTGTGTCGGTGATTGTTGCAGGACGGGACTGGAATTGCCTTCAGGGCGACCGAATCCACTCCTGGCAAACCAGAACTCAAGGCGCAGACCGAAGAGCTGAAAGCTGTCAGCGCTGAAGCCTTCAGCTTTGCAGGAAAACCCAGCCGCCTGAGAAGCGACTAGAGGTGCGTCGACAGCATTTATTTGTCTAGGTGAGGTAAAAGGAGAGATAAAAATAATCGAAGACAGATTAACCATATAGCATCCATACAAACAGGATGCTGAACACAAGAACAGATCGGATCAGGAGTAGGGGTCTGGATCAGCGTCTAGGATCAATGGCCACACCGGATAAGCGACCAGCGACCAGATTAGATGGATCAGTGACCACTTTGGATCAGAGACTGCGGATTTGATGGATTTGCGACCAGTATTAATGGAGAACACCCAACCCCATCCGCAAATCAACCCAACCCCGCAGTCTCCATGCAGTATTCATGCAGACTGCGGATTTGCGGATAGTTGCTCACAAACACCCAACCCCACCACACTTGATCGGTCGTTCAGATCGGTCACCCACACACCCACAGACCACCTGACCCGACCATATCCGACCATTCCGGATCGGTGGCCAGGATCGGGTCACCATGGGGAACCCGGTGGTCAACATCCGCCACCCTTACCTGTCGCATGGGTCTACTGATGCTAATTCTTCCATTTTGCCTTCCATCTTCAATCACAGCTTCTTGCTAGTTTCTAGTCTGGCAGTTGCTCATCTACTGTCATTAGTGCGAACGCAAAATCGCTAATCGAAGGTGATCACGTGAACCTTATCACTTGTCATATGTATATATATATATATCAGGTTGACTTCTAGAAGAGCCGCTGATCCGACAGTCGTCACTCAGCACGAAAACTGGTCGCTGATCCGGACTCACTGATGTCAGACAGTATGGTATAATCGGTATAACCGTTATTTATACTATTTCTAAACGGGGGGTAGGCTGCTAGGAGGTGGGTAGTAAGGTAGCTAGGTAGCTAGTAGGGAGAGGTAGCTAGCACCTACAAGTAAGCTACTAGTATGGACGCAGGATGGCTCACGCTATAGTAACAAGTGCATCGCTATCAGTAGCACGTGCATCGCTACTAGTAGCTAGAAACTACTTGTAGCGATGCACTTGTTATATCCAGACACGGTCGCACATCGGACTGGACGGTTGCCAGTACGGTTGGTTTGATTGTTGTCTAAGCGTCTACGTTATACTTTGATCTTTATCGTGGTGATGGACCCAGATCCTACTTTAATGTGAGAGAACAGTTGCGAGAATGGATGGCGATGCAGGGCTGTCAACAATCAGCTTGGTCCTTTATCCAGCGGTCTTGATTAAGCGCACATGCAGGATTCTTCTACACCAGAAACCAATGCAGTGCGGACCTCACTGGCCAGCACACAAAGAACTTTGTGACCTTACGACTGACTGCTATGCTGAGTCACTTCCCGGCGATCGTGCGTCTCCCTGGGGTGCCCCAGCGTCATGGATTCCATGGATCACTGTGGGAAAGTCACCTTATCAACGAAACAAACACGCTTTGCTGGACTCTGTTTCTCGCTTTTCCTTTTTGAGATGCTTTTTTTGTCTCGTTTCCAGGTGTTTCCTTGATTGACACAACCTTTAACGGTTTCTTCTTAAGTCAATGGGTATTCGACACGGTGTTTGGTTCCGTCCAGATGTTTGAGATGGAATGCCCGTTGTGTCTTCAGGTTCCAGATCCCCGAGCCGCCCCAACCCGCTGCTGCCAAGCTCGAGGTCTCCCTCAGTGTCTCGACAGGCGAGGATTTCTTTACTCGTCGATGATTGAAGGATGTCTTCGTTCAGAGGTGCTTAGTTAATGTTGGATGCTGATTAGTAAACCGGACCTCAATAATGCTAATTGTTTCCAAAATTATTCCAGATCCCATGTTTGAAAAAGTGGTCCTGAATAATGCTAATTTGTTTGGTGGACCTTTTTTTTTATTGGACACTTTATAAGGGTTTGAATTCCTTCTGAACCCTGTCCACCTGCACTCCCCCTCCCTTCCCAGGCAAGCAGATAAGAGAAGTGTTTTGCACTTGGAAAAAAGATATGCTCATGGAATCTTCCTTTACTTAGCTCCTCAGGCCAATGATTATGATTCATTAGCTGGCATAGGTTTCTCTAGGTTTCTTCAAAACTGACAGCTTTCCAAAACCACCAATTCCTAATTAAATCCTCTAAAAAACATTGCTCCTAAACAAATGTTCAAGGTAGTAGACCAGGAAGGCACCTGATCATCAATAATAGATTTGTTTTAGGGGTTCTCAATTGTGAAAAGTTTTTCCACTGGAAAAAAAAAGATTTGCTCATGGAATCTTCCTTTACTTAGCTCCTGAGGCCAATGATTATGATTCATTAGCTGATATAGGTTTCTCTAGGTTTCTTCAAGACTGACAGCTTTCCAAAACCACCAATTCCTAATTAAATCCTTTATAACACATTGCTCCTAAACAAATTTTCAAGGTAGTAGAACAGGAAGGCCCGTGATCCTCAATAATGAATGTGTTTTAAGGGTCCTCAATTGTGCAAAGTTTTTTCCTGAAGAAAAGTAAAAACTAGTAATTCCTAATACTACCAAGGGATGCCTCGCAAAGTCCCTGCTGAGGAAACACTGAGGAAGCTTGAGCTGAGAGCTGCGTCTAACTCACAGCTGCACATGCTGCTACTACTACTACTGCTACTACTACTACTACTACAAAGAGAGAAAGGAAACTTAATACTACAATCAATTACAAAAAGGAATCCTCACAGGAACCCAGATTCGTTTTGGTGGTAGTTTATTATAGAGGGTCCCCCATTTGGTTGAAGGAGGGGGGGGGACCCCCCTTTACTAATCAGGATCCAAAATTAGTAGTAGCGAACCTTGTTCCTAGTAAGGCCAGGAGCCCCTAATAGCGTCCTTGCTCCAAGTAGCGATGCCCTTTGTTGCTAGTAGCATCCTGTCTTCATGGACCGAAGTGCTTTTTCAAGGAAGCGTAGTTTAAACTAACTGCTTCATTGCAGGTGACAGACGCCTCCATGACACCTCGAGGTGAAGTCCTTCGTTTCTCGTAGACTGTACCGATAAATTGGCAGTCTCTTAAATGACAATGTCTTAGAGTACCTTCCTGTTAGTAGTAATGCCAGGAGCTACTACTAGCTTCTTGATACTAGTAGCGATGCCCTTGAGGAGCCCGAGATCGGAGCCGCAAAAGGACCTTCGTGTCACGCGCCGCGATTCTTTCAGGACCTGGCTGTGAGTCAATGTGACCCATGTAGGACGGATGGAAGCCCGCGAACCCCTGAGACGTTGGAAGCCAATTTGAATTTCCTTGAATGGATTTGAACTTGGAAGCAGAGTCGAATGGTTGAATAGCTTAGGACAGATCCTGCAGTGTATTTGCAGTCCTTGTTGCAGGAGACCACATTTATATACTTAGAAGCAAAGCAGAATGAAGCTTCTTGATGATGTGGAACACACAGTACGTGCCTGTCAGGATCGAAACATCAGCATCGTGTTTTGTCAGGAGACTCCGACCACTGCCACAGAGCCCTCGCCCCCGCCATCGCCACCCTCACCCAGTTGCGCGCGAACTGAGATGCGTCACAAGGTGCAATGTGCAACCCAGCCATGGAAGCTACTAGGGGCTCCTGGCCTTACTACTAGGAGCAAGAAGCTACTAGGGGCTCCTGGCATCGCTACTAGGAGCAAGAAGCTACTAGGAGCTCCTGGCCATACTACTAGGAGCAAGAAGCAGTGGCGACGTTGGGATCTGGATGGATGTCGTGTTTGGTCAGGTTGCAGCTCGCAGCCTGTCCCGCCTCTATGCAGAGGAGGAGCCCAAGGTACCTCTGAGAAAGTCAGGAACACCACTACTTTGATGATTCACACACACACTAACACCAACACTGGAGAATCTTTGACATGTTCATGCAGTCATGGGTCTCCGCTGCTTCGAAGGCTTCAATTCCACCAAGTTCAAGGGCCACACAGATGCCACAGCAGGACAGGGTTCGCCCGTCATATGAGCTCCGTGGTGGACCGATGAACCTGCAACCACGCCCCGCCTTTGTGGGATGCGACGCGGGTCTACCCGTCCCTCGGACGGTGTGAGGAGTCTCAGGCCAAGAAGCGCTCGGAGGACGGCGGTCGGACGATCTTTGGACCTGACTTCGGATGTTTTTGCCTGCTACTAGTAGCAAGAAGCTAGTAGTAGCTATTTGCTACTAGTAGCATCTAGTAGCAATGCATTTGTTCCTGGTAGCTTCTCGTCCAGCGTTTCGAGGAGAAGACTCGTGGCCGCTCTCAGCCCATTCGACGCACAGAGTCAAAGGCACGAGTTGGCGTTCCATCGCACCCGTCAACGTCACGACTTTCCAGGCTGAGGCTGCAGGTGCTGGGCTGCCGGTTGGTTCTGGAAAGGCGACACTGAGTACTGAAGAGCAGCCAAGTCGTAAGTCGGAATGAATGAATCTTATTCCCTAGAATTTCTAGAAACCAAATCATTAGCGCGAGCTATCCTGCATCCTAAGTAGTAGCTACTTAAGCTACTGGCTACCTAGCTACCACTAGCTACCTACCTCCCAGCGGCCTACCCCCTAAAAAAACTAAAAAACACACACATGCACATATTGGTGAAACTCGCTGAAAGGCTCGGAAGACGACCACTTCCAGACCGTCGGGACCTGAAGCAACTGAGACACTGCGCACCCAGCACGCGAACTGTCCCGCGAGGCGCAAAGCGGCTCCCAAAGCAGATGCAGCGCCAAAGGAGAGGCCGGAACCACGTTGTCCCGAGCATGTTGCGTGATGCATATTGGGCTTTATTCGAGTTGAAATCGATATGACATGAGTCGCGAGGCCCAAACCCAAACTGATGGAGCAGTCTCAGGACATTGCTGAGTGGTTGGCGCCTAGCAAGGGTTTTTGGTTTTCGTACATGGCTTTACCTGCACTCTCGGTTCTCGGGGGTTCAAGCTGAGGGTAGTCAACTGCTGATGGTGGCTCAAGCTGGATAGGGTTAAGCCAAGTCCTGCTTTCTTGCGCATTTTTTCAGGACCGCAATAGAAGCAGTGTAGGGAGTGAATTTGTTTTTTGGTCTTTGCAACGGCAATATTATGTAGATAAGTAATTAATATTTATATAATAGATGTAGTTATAGATGTGTATTGTCTCCGCATTTTGTCAGCAAGAAGCTCTTCAGGGTCGAAGATGTACTGGATGTACCCCGGCAGTTGTGCTGTCCATGTAGACTTTTGCTGGAGGACAATGCCGTCCGAAATCCCCAACGATGTGAAGCAAAAACTGTCCCTCGGCCCAATCAGCTGGATGCTGGGATGCTGACCCGTCCGTGTGCAACCAATGGAACCTGAAACGACCATTTTCGACCATCTCCTACCTTTGGCGAAGCTGAGGATCAATGATCCAAGGGTCCAGGAAGCTGCTGCGAAAACTGGCAAGGATGCTATCTCTGCCTTGCAAGACCCGGAGGCGATGGCCCTCCTTCCCGTGCATCTGACACAATGCACGGCGTGTCTACAGTCACCGTCGATTAAATAACTTTTGTCCCTTGACTCTCAAGCACAGCACTGGGTGTGGTGAGCATTTTGGTGAGTTTTTGCCAGGTTCAGAGACAGATCATGGAGACCTGCAAAGAGAAGTTTCCAGAATATGCAGATACAGCCAAGACGATTCTCCTTTGCAATGTGGAAAACGGGAGCAGAAGTGTAGAAAGCTGAAGAGTGCAAGGACCCTGACAGTGCGACAGTTTCATTCCCTGTGTGGTTGTTGAGTGGTTGTCAGCCAAGGAAGATTGTGGAGTTCTGCAACGATCCTGAGGCATTCCTTGAGCGAAGATGAGATGCTTCAGTTTTTTCTTTGAGCATTTGTAATGCTTTTGTGGCTCTAGGTCCAAGCAGCGGCCAAAAAGCGTCTCAGAGCTCATAAGTTGTGCTAATCCGGGAGAGGCGATGGTCCAGGATTGAGAGCGGTGAAGCCTTTTCCGCTTGAGGGGGAGAAGCATCCAGAAACTATCAGAAACTACAGACTTGAGCAGATACTGTAGTTACAACATGTTACAACAATATTGGTCAAATGTTAAGTTCCCAAAAAGTCCAGGAATAGTGCATAATGGTGCAAGGGCTTATTTAAGGATGCCTGAGCTTTTGTGCCTCGGATAGCTAGTAACTTAGTCGCTTCTTAAAGCTTCCTAGCTTACTTACTTGCTTAGCTTGCTCAGCTTGCTTAGATTCCGTATTCTCCAGATTCTGATGCTATGGCATCAAGATGCAATAAGGTATGCAGCACTGGCGGGTGCCTATGTCATGAAGGCGGGCGGTGCCTTGGTGGCGCAGATCGAACAAGGCCCTGCAGGCATCCGCTTCCTTTGCTTCCTGGGTAGCAGCGTGGCGGCACAGAATCTGATCGACAGCTCATAGTCACGAGTGTAGTCACTAGTCTTAATCAACATAATGACTCTCGATCAACATGATGAGAATCCTCCATGTTTTCACAAGCTGACGCAAGTGCAAAGATTTCTGAATGTTGTTGTGTGCAATCTTGATGGGGTAGCACAAGCAAATTTGCATTCTGAAGGCAGGACACATGCAGCAGTCCCTGTGGCATTATGTCATTATGGCAGGACATATCACAAACCAATATCTCAAACCGGCAAGAGAACTGAGGTTTGTTTTCAATGGCCAATGCGATCTTGAAGTTGATCAGCATTAGTCGAGTGCCTTGGACACCAGCTGAATAGAGCACCTAAGTTCTAAAATGCTCTCAGCCAGTCTCAGCCCACCAAGTCTTTCAAAGCCTCTTCCATTACGTCCCTGCGCGCTCTATACTCTAGGCATTTGCTTTTTGAGTCCATGGTGAAGCATGAGGGGCTCCTCTTTGAAAGAAGCTTCTAATACTCACATTGGACAATGAGCACCTTTCGCACTGAGATCATGAGCGAACCAGTGAAGTATGTCCTTTCGATTTACCAGCTGCTTTGCTTGCATTGGCCTTGCATTAGCCTTTGAATCGCTTGCATTTGAGCTTTCAGAATGCTTTTGAATAGCTAAGCGATGCCCGCTTGAATCGCCCAGGTTGCTTTTTAGCATCACCACGGTGCTTTTTGATGCTCGGTTGAGCTGCCAGTCGGCCACACAGCATGCTTTTGCAGCATGTTTAAAAGGTGGTTTGGTGCTTTGGTCGATCCAACTGGATCTTGGATGTTGGCGGTTCTTTTGAAGTGTTATTTTTGTGCGTGGGGCGTGGGGTCTCTGGTTCCGGTTTGATCCACCCTCAGGAGGCACCGCCAGACTACATTGCGAAAGTGCCTGGTCTCGATCAGTATCAGGACTGCAATCCAGCAAAGATCCACCGAAGACTCCTTGCTCGTTGGAGAAATATGTTGGTACCAAAGGGCAAAGGGGAGCGATGCTTTGTTCCACACAATCAGAAGAAGACACTCTGCAGGACCTTCTGTTAGAGAGACTTGGAACGCAACTCATGCCGCTTCATGCCTGTTTGCGCGATATGTTATGTACTTCATTTGCAAATTGATTCATTTTCTCCATTTGCGTTGGCACTTGGAATTCTCGTGGCAAGCTCAGGAAGTGCAAGTTTCTTTCCGAGACTTTGGGACGTGGTGGATTCTACATCTTCCAGGGTACCCTTTGGCTTTGCTTTGCGTGCCTCGCTCGCAGTTGAGCTAAGATCGCTAAAGTGAATCTATGTTAGGTCATGATGACGAAGCATCAAAGCCTCGAATTCGATTTGGATATGTCGGATATGTTTTGACATGTTTTGACCCTGTCATTCGTGGTCTGGCGCTGGTGTCACTCATTGGTCCGCGTGGTGAACTTGTCGCGGGCCTCGCCGAGTGTCACCACCAGAGCCATGTGGGATGATCCTAACGGCAGATTGCTCAAGCCTTCTTCGTGCTCCAAACTCCAAACAATTCCAGACATGAAAAAGGAAGAAAGATGAAAAGCTTAGCGACTTGTATATCGAATTTAACTTGAATTCAAGCAAGACACGCTGAATCCCCTGGCGCGTGTCATCAACCCTACGCGCGGGGGAAAGGTCACTCACTGACATCCTGGACTTGGCCGCTGGCGTGGCCTTGGTCGGCTGTGGGGGCTTGAATTTGCTCATGCATTTTGGAGGCGCGAAGCAGACTTGGAGTTCTTGCCATCTCCTGACAGGGCTGGGCTTGCTCGGGCGATTCTTGGGGGCTTGCTTATGGCTTGCTTGAGGGCGATCTTGAAACAGAGGTGTATGTAAAATGTGCCGCCCAAATTGTGCTAAAAGTTCTGTTGACTCGAGTGGGTTCGGGATTATAGTTCTTTTCACGTTGTCCCTAGCTTTGCAGCCGTGACACACGTTGTCGCTTCCGAATTGTGAGGCCTTGCCGCCTTCCAGGAAAAGGTCAAATCTGGCTACGAAAAGCTCGGAGGCAAATAGGTGTCAGCTGGCTGACCAAGAAAAGGTGGAGCACAACAAGCCTCAGAACAAAGTGGATCTGAGTGCAGCACGAAGCCGCCTGTCCTGATTATATATATATATATAGTAATATAATGTTGCTTTTTCGCTTTGTATGAGCAGTACAGAAGTCCAAACACTGTTCTTGGAATCCACGAACCTTAGAGCTTTTGGCAGCTTCAGCAGTGTTTCAAGCGACTGAGACACCTTGGAACCATCGGGCAAAGACCTGACCCGTGTGGAGCAAAAAAGTGCTTTGCAATTGGAGTGGCGGGCGGGCATTGAGCATTGAGTTTTGACCTCAACTGACTTGGACAGTGTTTTGAGTCTCACAACTCCGTTTTTGGCCCCAAGATTGTCTACTGCACAAGTGGTTCTTTGACTGACTTGATTGGCAGGAAAGCCCTGAGGAAGATGTGATAAACATCAAGATCGATCAGGTCCAGGGCCAAGTCACAGCCTTCGTTTTGGAAAGAACAGGCTTTGTTTCGAGGGGTTGAAGCTCTCAACTTGCAACCTGGACCCGCCAATTGCGAAGACTACAAGACCTGTACCACAAGACTACACTAGCTATGTACTATACATATATATATATACTACCCTCAGCTACCAGAACCATGGAAAAGGATGGCTTTACGTTGTGACCTCTTTATGTTAGGTCTTGAAGAGTGACATATTTTAAACACCCGATTTTGGTGAATGCCATGATACATTGATACATAATGTTCAACATGATTTTGCAATCCTCTTTTCAAGGAGGTGGATTTGGGCTCCTCCGGCCGCACCAATGAGCTCATGACGCCTGGGTCCCCGGATGGTGAGGGGATGAAATGGTGATGTTTACATGTTGAGCATTGCTGAGCATTGCTAAGCGGTGATTGGGGTCTTTGGGACATGGTCATTGTAGTCATGATTGAGCGACGCTTGTTGAGATTGTAGATGATTGTAGCATCTCCTCAAAGATCAGGATTTGGAAGAGAATTGTCAAGTGAAAGATTAATCATGGATCTCGTGCTAAGGACGTTTGGAGATGACCTTTCCTTCACCAGTGAATCTCCGTTACCAAAGGCCCATTGGCCAACAGGTTTTGGAGTCTTCAGTACACGAAATGGAACATCTCTTTAACCTGTTCAGAAATGCCGCAGATGCTGAAGACCAGACTCCTCAGTAAACAGACCCCCGCGCAGGTGGAGACGGAGCATCGGACCTTGGAGGTCGAATGTCACTCGCATCGAACGAACGTCACTCGCTCGAGCATCGGACTTTTTCAAGGTGCCCAATGGGCCCAACAGCGATCAGAGAGCCAATTTTGGGCAGAAGGTCTATTCCTTTGGCCTGCAGGTCTGCGGATGTTTGCGGTGAGTAGGTCAGTAGGTCATATGTGTTTTTCTCAGTGAAGTAGATGCCCCTTTTGGCAGGACGAGCTGGACATTTGCCACAAGTTGGACAGGGGCTGGTCCCAGAGCTCCGCTTTGCAGGCGAAAGGGACAGAGCGGCAGTGACGACCGACGGGCAGGTTGCAGTCGAAGTAAACGATGTCTGATCTGTTGCAGGCAGCTGCTCCTGCTGCTCCCGCACCTCTGAACCCTTACGATTTTCAGAAGCCTTTGAAAGGCAAGAAATGCTTGGACATGAACGATGCTGGTCAAACATTGGTTGGCTGGTGTCAGGCAAGGCAACCCTGGACGGCGTGATGTCCAAGGAGAGTACAACCTGAAGTGACCGCAGGTGTCAGAAGCATGCCTGAAGCTGCAGGATGGCCACGCATCGAGGACACCCAATACACATGTGCCCGCCATGTTGATATCGATGCACACGTGATGCATGACATGCGTGCAGCGAATCTGGGTTTTGCTGCAGAACGATACCACCAGCACTCATAAAGCTTCATATAATTTGGTTTTGATGAAGCAAGCGGCAAGACCAAAGTCCTTGTGTGGATGGTTCTTTTCGGAATGCCAGGTGCGCTTCCCTCGTCTCACAGAGCTTCTTCGTTCTGGCAAGGCCGCTGGGGAAAGGGTTGCTGTACACACACAGTGCGTAGCTACGCCGGGTTGAAAGAAAGACTTGACTGCTGCTGACACAGCAGAGGTCATTCCAGGAATTCCAGACCAACAGATTCAGATTCAACGAATCCTTTCAAAGCGTAGGGGGATGTGGTAAGGGGAGAGAGTTTATAGGGTATATCTGTTCACTGATTTTGGGTTTATTCTGTGTCTTCTGAGTGGGAGGAGTGATGCCAGCATATATACAGCAATGCAAGCCAGACAGATAGCATTTCCAGCAGACAGGGGGGCCTGGACATTGCTGTGTGAAAGGTTGCCCGGTACCTCCCAGGTAAAGCTGTGACATTTTCGTCAGGACTTCCCGATAGAATTTGGCAGGCCCTTGCGGTCCGTCCTGTGGTGCCAGAGTATGGAAAGATGATTGGCATTATGGAGGTGGGGCAGAGGAACAGAGATCATCAGATGGGCAGATGGTAATGTGTTTTACCAGCAACTCTTCCTAAATTGAAGGATCAGCCGTAATTCTTCACTTCTGATAAAAGCATGAGAACTCCCAGGCTCAAATGGTTTTGGGACACAGCTGGACAGCAGAAGTGACAGCAACTTCCAAAGCGCTTGGATTGCTTCAATGGTGCGCCAGCTGGCTTAAGCTTTTTGCAACTCAAAAAGACAGACAGATGTGTTTGGGACACGTGCAGATGCCACTCTTGTGCCCACAGAAGTATCACACGTCAAGCTTTCCATTCTGGGCAAGTAGCAGGTAGCCAGATCGCCATTCTGCCAGGTTCTTGCCCTATGTGCTCACCATCAGCGCCCTTCTTGTTCTGGCAGTGGCTGCATTGCAGCCGTCGGAGGTGCTTGCTTGCTTGTTTTCCAGACGAGTTCACTGGTTTCACGACTTGGATTTCAAGAGGAAACAGTCCTGCAGCCGGACCTGTCGTACGAAGGACTAATATGAACTAATTGTTGTGTGCACTGAATCGATCGCTTGGCCGCTAGGCCTTTTGGGTTCCTCTTCTCTTGCCGCTTCTTCTTCCACTGCAGCAGCTCCGGTGCAGAATCTGGAATCGCCAGCTGCTGCAAGCAGTGGACAAGGTTGCTTCTTTGCAGTTGCTGCACGCAGTGTGTTTCGTTCACAGAGAAGGGCCTCAACTCGATTTGCAACGGAGACCTGAAAGGCGGCTTTTGCAGATGCATTTGATCAGTTGCGAGCACCTCTTGGCTGGGGTGAGGATGGCCCGGACCTAATGTTCAAACTGTGTACCACAAGCGCGTCATTGCGGCACCTGAATCTTGAACGAAGAGCACCCAGGTCAATACTTCTCTGCAAACCTTGTCTCCGCGATGCAGGTGGAAGTTGTCCCGCTTTCAAAGAAGTAGACATCCGACTACCAGCACTTAGCTGTCAACTTGAGAGTTGAGTAGTTTTTTTTTCACCAAAGGCGCTAGATGTGCAACCTGGTGAGCTTTTGACATCAATGCGAAGCAGGGACCTGAAGATTAAGTTTGACTGGTGCCACTATAAACCGGAACATTGACGACTTGCAGGTCGATTGGAGTGGAAACTCTATATCTGGTCCAGTCAGCCAGTCTTGGGCACGAAGGGAACACGGACAAGTTTTTGATATTTTTTGCATATGCTAAGCTTCAGTAAAGTTTGGGACAAAACATTCCTCAAACAGTTCCACGCAGCACAGCCGGCGCCAGTTGCACCTTGGTGTTCGTGGCTCCAGCCGTGATGTTCATCAAGATCGACGGCATGGAAGCTGCACAGGTGCACTTTGTTTGGATTCAGAGGTCACTTCTATTTCTTTGCGAATGGAACCATGGACGTTGCAGGTGCCCGTGCTGCTACTTTGTGCTTTGAGTCTGTTGGCAGCCTGCACGCCGGGCAAGGCCAAGTGGGGAGAACAATGTGAGAGGCAGATATAGTAGCAAGGTGCCTTACTACATCTTACTACTAGTAACAAGAAGCTACTAATAGCCTCTGGCATTACCACCAGTAGCAAGAAGCTACTAGTAGCAAGAAGCTCTACATACATATATATATATATACATAATGGGGCCAGCGAACTAAATTGAGGTGGGGTACTGAGTTTCAAATGAATTGCCGTCAATTAATTGCAGACATTGCCGACATAGGATGTTGGAGGGGACCCCAAAAATAGGTGTCAGCATGAGGAAACACGTGGTTTGACAGCAGAGAGGTAAACACTCCCCCCAAAAGAGACCTAATGTCAATTAGTTGTGAGTTGCGGGGAGGGGGAATACTTATTTGAAAGATGGTGAAGAGGTAAGGTGCATGTGAATTAATTTTAAGGATTGCAAAATGCGAATGGAAGTGCAGCGACACGTACAGTGCAACTTGTACATATA